ATTAGCTTACTTTACAATTGCGTGACGTAAGCTAGGAGGTCCCCTGTGAATCGCTGGTGTCGGAAACCATACTGCCTGTTGCTACTCAAGCCGAAGTAGACCAGAAACTCACGATTTATGCACCTCTCATCACCTTACTTATAACAGAAAGCAGAGCTATAGGCCTGTAGTTGTAAGGGTCAGTTTCAGATGCTTTTTTTGGCATGTGTTAGACATGAGCAAATTTACAGTTTTCTGGATTCATAAGATATCTGGAACAGACGCAAAAGAACTGGAGCAAGCTCCGCTGCACACCTCTTCAGTACAATCAAGTTCGGACCAGAAGCTTTGTTGGGGGCGTCCATGGTGGAGTTGGCAGCAAAGATCTTGGCAAGCACTTCAGTCTTGGCCTTAGAGTCTGTTACAATCATTCCATCCTGACACGTAAGTATGGAAGGCTACTGTGTGACAAGTTCTTTTCAATCTGCTTGGCCAGCGTCCAGAAAGACCGACTGCCATTTGCCTGCGATATAACCTTGGAAAATCAGACATATCTTTCATCATTTTCAACGAAATTATACAAAATCTTAAAATTTGTGAAGTTAGCGAGTTTCACTTCATACATTGTTACCAGACATGCCCAAATCATCAGTTTCTGCCGTGATATTCATCCCGACCACTGCATCCCAACGGCTAAGGGACCTGTATGTTAAATTTGTGTTGATAGGGTTATGCTATAAATCATATGTCGCAGTTTTTGTGCACTGATTGCAACGCTTAGATGATACCAAAAATATTTTCATAAATAGGAGATCTTTCCCATTCCGGATCGAACAATCCACCAAAGATGCTTATAATCATGATACTTAGTAAATTTACATTGTTATATTTGTTCATCAATTTGATGATACAACACATCTGCCAAAAATGATCATAATCAGTATAGTAAACTATGATGAAGGTCCACTGTATGTAAGAATTTTCAGATACTTCATTTGCAATTTGATAACAGACCATGATGGTGTTCACATTTTTCAAATATTCTTCAAGAAGTGTTATCAGCTCCAGCTCCAACTATCATAAGTACTATGTTTGTATTCCTACTTTAAATTCAAACCAGCAAATGTAAAAGATTCATGTCGCACCCTTCACCACGGGACGTGATCGTCGTTAGACTTGGCAACCCTGCGAGCGACAGATAGATAACCCTACCAGTGAAAAAGGCAATCAAACAATAAACATTAATAGTTTTTATGATTTATTTGTGAAACATTTTTCATAATTTTACAATACATGACGGTTGACCTGTTTTCTCTGTACAAACGCATCATGTTGGAATCAAAAAGTGGTCTTGTCTATAATACAGTCGAATTTTCACGATTTTATTCAATATTTTAATAGAAATCACTGATATTCAGAGACCTTTGACAGCTTCCGTCAAATTGCATTTCGATAAGGTATTTTTCCATTAGTCCATAATATTAATGTTGGTGAAATCGAACCTAAATCTACAAAATAAGACAGTTTACTATTTGTTAACATGTTTAGAAGCAAATTGTGGAACAGCGTCGTGAGGAAACACGTAGTGGTCCCGTAAAAGTATTCGAAAATTCTGCTGCAGCACCGACAATCCGCCCAGCTTGCCGGAGAGACCTGGTGCAAGAGGCCACACAGTTGCTTCGTCGGCGATGACGCCGTCTTCTGTGCATGAGGAAGCGACCCAAAGCGTCGCGACGGTGGCTGAGAAATTGTGCGATGTCAATGACCCCGGCAGCAGCGTCGTGCTGCTTCGCACGCTGAATTTACAGGTTATTGACTTTGACGGAGATACACACTCTTAGGCCACAGTCCAGTCAATACAGATGGAGATCCACATTCTCAGCCATTTTGGAAAGGAAGTTTATGTTTTTTGGGGATTTTATAGGCATTAAATGCTAATTTTTAAGTGCCTGAATAAAGCAAGAAGATGAGGCTCGAGTAACGATACCGATGGTACGCTCACATACGATGTCGTATGTAGAATGAATAGGGTTGCTGCTTACATATAGGCGCCAATGGAATCCCAGCAAAGTTATGGTTTATTGCCGAATATCCCCGGGACAGAGCACAATCACTTTATCCATTTAACAGATAAAGTGGGGGATCTTTTTGAAAAGCGCCGTATAAAGTGAACCACAGTACTTGGTGCCTTTTTCTCACTCCGTTTTAAAGAAAGTTGTGATAGCAACAGCTAAAATGTTTTTCTCTTATGCAACTGACCCAGTACAAGCAATGTATGCTTACCAAACACCTGATCCTAATAGTTTTGCGACTGCCGAGCTTTCATAATTTGGGAGTTTATTTCGAAGTAGCATTGATCTTCTGAGGCTACGTTAGAAATATTACTGGGTCCTAGATATATCGAGAAACATCATCTCATTCAATGGCTCACGGTGGCAAATATCCAGCCTGAGGGAAATGACTTACGTGAAACATTCACTCGTCAGTATGTAGTCGTAAAACATATGGAGTTACCGAAGGTTTCTTTTTACTCCACAATATCAACGCACAGTTTATGACGGTGACTTTGATCGCTGAACCTGCTTACTTTCTGTTCCTGTGACCATAACCAATCGTATACAACGTTGTTTCTGGCTTGTTAGTAATCATCAGTCACTAACTGTTCACCATGAACAACTTTGTATACGGTTCGTTATGGTGACAGAGACCAGACCTGGGCAGTATTCGTATTTTGAATCCTATTCAAAATATCTTTTGCTGGTATTCGAATGCTGTTCGAATAAATTTGTGTGCTGGGATTTGGTATTCTCTCTCTCTCTCTCTCGGTATTTTGGATTCTGTTTTGTTCATGATCTATCTTTTTCATAAACTTATTTAAATTAAGTTTCAGCTTTTGTAGCACCAAGAGACAAAAATAGAAATAGAGTAGATAATCGCGCAATAACAATCCAACAAATAAAGCAAAAATAGCTTTAGTGTACTTACATGGGTTGAATAAGCATGGACAGTGTAAATATTGACAGATAGCTTGCATAAACCTACACTTTTACTGAATCACAATATTCGAATACCCACTTTATATTTAAATTCCGGTATTCGAATTCTGTATTAGAATCCCGTTTTCGAATACTGTTTGACTGTTCTTATGAATACTTACGGAACTTAAGCGTATAAAAGCACGTTTGCGTGGTTGTTGGTAGTACATATCATACAAAATAGCTACGTAAAGTTATTTTATTTGTGTGGTATGTAGTGCTTCTTAATTCGCGATTTTCATTCTACTTTAAAACAAATTTTAATACCTCGCACATTGACACTGTATATCAATTTGTTATTTTGACTTTTGCTTAATATAATCATACATGTTTAATTTTTTTATAACTTATATATTCACAAATGAAGTACATAAATAGAAATCAAGTTTCAAGTGCTCATTTGTTTTTTTTTTTAGTTAGAATATTCAGAAAGTATTCACATCTAAATGAAGACAGGTATTTAAAATAGCGGTATTCGAATACTTGTTTGCTTTGTATTCGAAGCTTGAGTATTTGAACATAATTTAAAATACAGTTTCAGGATCCATATTCGAATACCGAATTTTTTTGCATAGCACGTCAAAGATGCATGGTGAGCACTCGGTTCTATCCTAAGTTATACCTGTCATTTTACCAAGCGGACTGTCATTCAGAGATACCGGGAATCGAATGGGCTTCCTGGGTCAGGTGTAGACACCTACGCTCTTGCAAACTATGCATAGGTAGCAGTGCTACTTGAACGCTACATATTCAGTTTTTCAGTAGATCCATATCCGTTTATTTGTTTTCCGTTGACTAGACGTATATCGTACTGATGACTCTGGGAGAACTACTGAGGAGACGTCCAGACAATTGCATTAGCTGTTCAGATGCTTGTTAAGAGCTAAGAGGTAATTTTACTTTGAAATGTAACCTACCCGCTCAGCAAAAAGCCTAATCAGTGACACTTTGCGCACGCATCGAGTATACGATACTTCAGGGAAAAATAACCCTAGTTTCAACAAGCTCTCATTAACTTTATTGTAGCAATTGCAGTTTGAGTAGTGAGGAGCTTAGGGCAGAAGAAGGCTGCTGCCGTTAACTTTTCGGCATTTGCACTTTTCCGGTATGCGAGCTTCTTTTCGCAGACGCTCAAGCAGTAAAGGTTACGGTTAAAAGCTCACACAGGTCAACATTTGGTCTAAGACTAAGACTGGATCGCATACTAGTGTATCCTAATGTTTTTGACCGCTAGAAGTTATTATTGGTCTTCATAAATCCAGTAAAAGGATTCGAAACATTTCTAAGCTTCAGAAGGTACCATTATTAAGAAATTTAAGGCTCAAGGCATCCGCCGTTGAGGGAGACCCAGAGTTACAACTTCCACTGAAGACTTAAGCATAATGGTGAAAAGTAAACGCAATCGACGCATGACTGCACCCGATAGCAGCGGACTTGAATGTGTGTGAACCTGTAAGTGTGACTGCAAGTAAAAGAAGGATACTCGAAGCGAAAAGACTGAATTAGCCCAAGCAACATCAAAATTGGACATTTACTGACTGGAAGAAGGTCCTCTGGAGGGATGTATTTAAATTTAAAGTTTTTGGATCCAAGAGAAGAATTTTTGACCACCATCGGCCTAATGAGAGGGCATTAGAATCATTCAGCGTCGCTTCAGTTAGGCACGGTGGAGACTCTGGGAGATATTGTGAGAGTACAGGGAATACTGAATAAAGAAGGTTACAAAGCCATACTACAAAATCTTGTTGTGCGTTCTGGGACTCGTCTTATTGGTCCGGGGTTTGTCTTTCAGCATGATAACAACCCCAAACACACATCCAAGCTCTATAAACAATATTTGGGTGCAAAAGAAGAACCAAATATTTTGAAACTCATGCAATGGCCTCCCCAATCCCCGGACTGGAATCCGATAGAGTTACTGTGGGATGAAGTACGAAAATGTTGGCCTACATCTCAAGAACACTTATGGAGAATATTACAAGACGAATGGCGAGAAATAACCCAATCCACTTTAGAAAAAATAAGTTGCGCGTTTACCCATCGTTTGCCAGGATGTAATTAAAAGTAAAGGAGGACATATTGATGAGTGAAAAATATGATAATTTTGATTATAAATAATTGTATGTTGTTAAGGATTAACAAAAAAATGAATGTTTCATACAAATAGTGTTTTCTTTGAAACAGGCAGCAGCGGTGGCCGCAGTAGTAGACTTTTCGAATCCCGTCCCAGGAGAAACTTTTTTCTTGGCTATGGATGTTGTGATTGTCCGTAGGTGGTAGATGGTCTCTGACTGTCATACGCGGTGGTACCACCCGGCGGATCTCGTAGGCGGGGCCAGAGTATGTGCATGTTGCATGCACACGTGTTCCCTCGCCAGAGTCGTGTAGCGTTCCCCCTTTCCCCTATAGCCTCACGGTACCCCATGGGTGTTTAGGCCTTAGGCCTTCGTGGTGGTTGGAGTATAAAAAAAACTTCCATCAGTTACCTTGTCTTCTGGATGTTCAAATACTTTTGAACGGGAGTGTATATAACAGTTTTTTGGGTAGCTGAATCTAAATCCGGTGTTTTTTCTTGCCTGGCCATTTCATCCAATTTGAGCTTAAAATAATCTCAATTTAACATTGAAGTAAACTCTTGATAACCCAGCCGGTTAAACAAACGCCAGATATGAATTCAACAAAGAAAGAAAGCAACATTTAGAGTTTTAAGATGGATTTTCAAAAATTATTCAGCTTAGAATAAGTTTGATTCGACCTTGGAAGTAGCCCTAATTTGACAATGTAGTAACCCCTCGAGGGCCTTGCTAAGCAAAACAAATTCCGCCAGATTTGGGACCAATGATCCAAAACCAATATGGTTTTTTCAATGTTTTAGTATTTTTTTAAATCTGACCTAGAAATGACCTTAAACAAACCAGAAAACTCTAAGACTATGTGGTCCAGTAAAAGGTCCTATAGCGTGTTTAAACTCCATTTACTCCGCTCCAAAGCAAACATGAGTACTTGACCGTTGCACAGCCGCGATTTTGGATTCACTTCACAGATCGAATGTTGACCTGTGTACAGTACAAGTACTACACTGACTGCAGCATACCTGGATTATCGCGTTTGAGCCACGGCCGGGCCGGCCGACACTTCCGACGGTATGGCGGCGCGGTACGGCCTCAGTGAATTTGGCAAAAAAGGAGATGCTGCTCTAAGTTATCTGTCGTTACTTCTTGCGATTATACTCTAGCTACTACCAGCTGCTGCATCGCTTGATAGGCCAAGGCATTGGACAATTTGGAAAATGAGTTCTACAATAAGTGCGGCGAAAATTTTACTGATAGCACTGGAATATTGCTTGTATGTTGTAGTTCCAAAAATTGTACAAATCGGTATAGCTATAGGATCAGGAATTTAACTGCGATTCTTGTATACGCCTGCGATTAAATATCTCTTAAGCTGTGGTAGTGCGGCACAGTTATCACAAAAAAACAAAAATGGCGTCAAGTAGGTTAACTCTGCACTACCCAATAAGCCCGATCGCAGCAAACATCGCCGCTGGCAGCAGCCAGCTTACGAAAAGTCTCTTCTACCTTCGTTAGCGTTCCTCGCGGGTATTGAGAGGATTCCTATCATTATAAATTTTAAGGGTGAATGTGCGGTAAAACCTATGATGTGTGAAATATGACTAATATACGTACGTAGAATTACCGGGGCTAGAAGCGTATAAGCATACTAACGGCGAAAAATTAAGATATACCTTCCCCAACCACAAGCAGCCCTCCATTTTCCCCTTTTTAACGAAGCGAAAAAACCAAGTTTAAGCGTTTTTTTTTTTCGTTTTTCGACTTTAGTCACGCCATAATTACAACGATTTGCAATAACTACATAAACCTTTTGTCCTTGGCATAGTAGCAACCCTACATCAAAATTTCGTCAAAATCCGATAGGTATTTTCAGAATTATGGAGGGGTCTTGGTATAGCGGTCAGATAGATAGACCGAAAACAGACAGACCGACAGACCGACGGAAATTAGTGGCATGGCTTTTCGTGGTTCGTAACTAACACCCAAAAATGTTGTACCTCAGTTTCAAAAATTTTCTGCCTTTCCAATTGACGTCGAAAGTAAAATGTCAATGGCGTGTGCCATCTAACCAGTACTTTTCAGTCAGAATTCCTAATAGTCAAAAAATTGATCGTGAAAACCCATAAGCAGTTTTATAAAGGGTCAATCCAAATATGGAACAAAACTTCAGTCATCATAAAAAATGCGACTCTGATGTATGGCTCCATAATGGGACATCCTGTATAACTGTAGACATTTTAGAAATGCATCTTTCTGTACCATACACAAAAGTTTTGGCTTAAGGACAATAAATTGTCCATGTATGGTAGCCGCCTTGCATAGTTATCGCTCTGTCACAAATTTAGATTGTTGATAGCTTTGAATCATTTTTATGCAGGAGCCTGATAGAGCATGATAAAAATAGTAGGTGAATGGTTTGCAGTTGTAACGGAAAAGAGTTTCAGAAATTTTCAGCCGGGATATGTTATATGACATCTACATCATTAAAAACTATGTCACTCATTTCCGTCGGTCTGTTTGTCGGTCTGTTCGCTAATACTTGGCCCATCTGTAATTTGGAAAGTACAGCTCGGATTTTGACGTAATTTTCACGCAAGGTTACTACTAAGCCATGGACAAACAAGCTTTGTAGTATTAGACATTTGTTCAATATCAGCGAAGTTGGAACAAAGAAGGAAAAAAAATCGTACAAACTTTTTTAGACATTCAGGAGGCTCTTGCCCATTCTAAGAATCTTTTTTTGTAGAGGTTAAGGGGTATACGCTTCCAACCCCAGTAACAGTATGTTAGTTAGTCATATTTGATACATTATAGATTTTTCCGTAAATTTGCCCTCAAAACTTGAATGGTCGAGATACAGAGGGTGTTACGTACTTAAACGGATATAGCGAAATGGTAGGTAGTATGGATCGAGACTCATTCACATCTGAAATTAAAAAAGTTCTTAATTCAGTTTTTACGAATAAACACGCCAAATCTTTAATATTACATATATCAGGCACTACTTGACTGATTTTGTTAAATTTGTGCACGATAAGTAAGTTACCTGTGAGTAACGTAAGACTGGATAGACAACTGAAAAATCTGAGGCTGGATTCGGATTTTTCACTTTTTTGTTTTTTCTTCAAAATCTACACCCTTTAGGCTGAACATTGAAGTGTTTAACTACAAAAAAAACAAAATAGATCAATTTCGTCTCTTTTAGTTTTTCAGTAAAACATTTTTATTTACTCAAATATCTTATTTTTAACAGTTCATGTGACGCAAAAGCTTAAGGGTTATCAAGTTGGTTTCATCAACATTCTACAAAATAATGCCTAAATCTATACTCAACTGCTTTGAGAACTCAAAATTCCAGAGTCGATTTAAGGTTTTCTATTTCCTTCTATTTTATGAAGAGCAACACTGTAAGTTTTAATCCAAATTTATTATTATTTTGCAGAAAAGAAAACAATGCATAATATTAATAAAAGGTAAAAATTGATCTTTTGCACCCTGTTCAGTTTCTTTCAGTAATTTTTTTATGATTTGAAATTTTTAACTAAGAAAGCTAAAGACGCATAATCAATCTCCGTTGGTTTTTTTGCACATAGTGAATCATTTCAATATTCAGCTTAAATGGTATTGATTTTGGTAAACAAAAAAAAAGTGAAAAAATCGAGTCCGGTCCTGTATTTTCCGTCTTGTTTTACGTTTCTCACAAGAGACTTGGCTTTCGTGAAACATTTCATTAAAATCAGCTCAATAGTACCTGAGATATGTGTTATTACAGGTTTTTGGTACTTAGACCAACCACCATGTAATACCGTAAAAACTTTTTTATTTTGAGGGGTGCAAAGGCCTTGGTCTATTCTACCAACCATTTCACTATGTCCGTTTTAGTATGGAAGACCTTGTATGTATGTATTTTCAATTTACACGTCCCAGGCAACTCGACAAACGTAAATCTACCTGCAAGGAAGACTCACCGATATCTGAGCAATTATGGGTGAGGCCCATGATACTACTCGTATTAGTCGAGGAGATAAGCCCCCGCGCATCATGTCATCAGTCTCTTCACGCGCGCGGCGTCACTCGGTGACAATAATCCCCAGAGGCGGTTGACAAAGTACAGTTTTACATGACAACCACGTTTAAGTAAAATCTCGCGTTTCAGCAAGCGTGAATGACTGAGCGGTTCCAGTCGATGCTTATTACACTATAGATCCGGGTTCGATATTCTGTCGGAGGGATATTTTTGTATTCGTCTTTATTTGCATACGAAATCTAAATATAACAATGCTAATTTTTACATGTAATCCAGGAATGCTGTAAAGAAAGGAGTATATAGAGCGAAAACTAAATTTGTCTGATGGCTTGAGTTCAATGTGTACGAGAGAGAAGCGCGCGACGTGTGTATCAACTCATCTTAGAAAGAGATAGAAGCCGGCTGAACAGCGCAGGTCATCACCATACTGCCTAGCGACGGTGACGCAATGTGTCGCGTTGCCAATATGTTACACCAAAAAATGTTCGCACAGGCTTCTACAACAGGTTAGGTTACTTTCAAACCCAAGAAGAAGGTCTGTTCGAACATTTAATTCAATATTTTGTTTTCATTTTGATTAGAGTTATTTATTTCAATTTTGATGCGACTTGATTGTTTAATTTATTTAGAAATTTAACAAATACCATTACGCAATACAAATTATCACTGCATGCGTATACGCAAGTTAAAATCATTTCGAAGCAGGAAGACACTCCTCAATGAGCGCTAGATGGGAACTGACTAAAATCACTCATCTATGATAGTGTAGGTGGAAACCTTGCCTTGGAATGCACAAGATGCAGTGCTGCCAAGCGAGCCAATAATATAATGTAGAATTTGTGGCGATCCTAACTTTTCATTTCGACCTAAAATGGAGCACCTTTAGGATCGATCCGGAATCGCTCCTAAACAGATTCGACACAATTCACAATTCAAAAGTGTGTACGCTCAAAATAAAACTATTATTTGGGAATGGATAATGAACTAACGCATATTTTCAGCAAGCATCTCAATTCAAACAATTAGTGTAACATATTGGCAAGGAACGCGGCAGATTGATTGAACTCAAGTTGTCAGAAAACTTTGGTTCTCAATGTATATATTTATATACGTATGACGCAGTTATTGTCGTCAATAACTAGCTGAGTGGAAGAATCTGTAATTGGTACGATTACACATCTCTCCTAAGATTGATATTTCACAATAAATACAATAATCCAATAGATATAATCAACGTTGTGTATATTTCTTCCCCGTTTTTTCTCCAGTTTAGGATTTTTTTACACTAACCAGGTTTTTTACGTGTTATCATTAAGCATCGAAAAATAAAATAATTATTTTCGAAACTTTTTTGTTGAAATAACTTTCCTTACAGTTAATCAGCAATCAATAATTTCAACGTCATACGTTGGGCTTATTGAGGTTACTCCAAGATGTAAAACAAAACACTTTTAAATTCGTTTGTGTTTTTTTGTAAAACATAGGTAAGGGTTTTTAATAATTTTTAAGAGTAATTTGGCAACAATCTTACCGACTCTGTAAGTAACAAAATTTCAATGAATTGATTGTGGTTGCTATTTTTTAGATTGGTTTTTAGCTCCTGATGGTCATGGCATGTATGGTGTGTCTGAAGTCACTTGAAATAGCATAAAAACCTTTGGTCGGCGCGTCCTTTGTAATTTCATGACGTATCATAGGCGTGCGGCATTTATTTAGAACCATAATAATAATGTTTTTATATCACAATAAATGGATTTTACTATCTTCTTATTTGTTTGATTTGGGATAAAAAATACTTATATTGGGAGTTTATGTTGACTGAAAGTTAAGAAATGGAAAAATTACAGAATTCCAACGTTTGACATAGGCAAATATTTACATAGCAGGTAGGTATATAAAAAGGTATATAAAGACTTACATTATAGGTATTTATATATCATCCGCGCCTTCGGAGCTGTCGCTAGAGTCATCTTGTAGAGGAATTACAACGGGATTTACAGGAGGCAAAACACAATATTCATTTTCTTTTTCAATAATATGCCTAGAACACTGCTTCCATAGGTCTGTGGCAGCAATATGAGATACTGCATCTCTTATTGTGGCCAATAGCGATTCACTTAATTGAGGGGTCTGATTATGTTTTCTTACTTTTTTTTTAAAGCAGCCCAGACCAACTCAATCGGGTTAAAAATGCAGTAATAGGGAGGTAGACGTAATACTTCATGGCCATTTTGCTGAAGCAGATTGTCAACAATATACTCTTTTTCAAATTTTTGTCTTTTAATAAGATCCAATAATATGGCTTTGGTTGATTTTTGTGGTATTTCCATTCCCTTATCCTTCATAAAATCAATAATGTCTTGTTTTTTTGTGCCTGTATTAGGAATTTTGTTTTTCTGTCGGGAATGGTATGGCGCATTGTCCATAATAATCACTGAATTTGGGGAAATGTTTGGTATTAACTGCTGCTCTATCCACTTTTCAAATAAGTCGGAGGTCATGTCCTCATGATAGTCGGCACATGATTCTTTGATATTTTTGGCAGATAACAGCAAGGCATTAGGTATAAATCCATTTTCACTGCCAGCATGGAGAATAATGATTCGTTTTCCACGGTTGCATGGTGCATTTAAAATGCACTTGTTGCTGTCGTCAACCCAGTCGTACTGCACAACATCATGGGTATCATACCACGTTTCATCCAGGTAAATCAGGTTTCTTTTCTGCCTTCTATAGATTTTAACTTTGTGCAAAAATTCTTGGCGCAATTCAACGATTCGAAGCGACTCCATAATCACCATTCTTTTATCTAATTTTTTGTATTGAAAACAACACAGTTTTACAATACAGTGCAGTGAGTCTAAGCATTTGTAATTATAAAAATCTTCAGGATAATCTTTTAATTTATCCCGTATCATTTCCAACGTGGGCACCAAATTTTCTTTATAAAATCCGTATATTATACGACGAATATCTTAATGAAAACCCACGTCTATTCTTTTTAATTTTTGCCCTATGCGCTTTCTGTGGAAGGAATGGTTGACTACATCTCCCCTTTTTATAACCCGATAAATGGTAGACCGACTGATTTTTGTCAGGATACAAATTCTGTTTAAAATTTGATTTTGCGAGGAATCTGGATTTTCGTTTTTCAAACAATAATACATATTTAGGATTACTCTTTGGGTCTGTTCCTCTAAATCTTTATGAAAGAATTCTGCCTGCACAGGTTCATCAACCATCTCCTCGTGGCTTGGAGCATTTTCCCAAGGTCTCCAAAGAGCCATATTTAGGACACACAAGAACAATCAACACAACAATTAAATCAACAAGTAAACTGAGTATTCAAAAGTCAAAAACACACAAACTAATAAAATCTATGAAAAAACACGGACAGACTAAAGAAAACACGTTTATTCACCGCTACACGGCACTGGCTAAACTGTTTCAATTTTCAGTAGCCACCTGCACTTGTTCCGAGCTCTGAAATACACGCTTTCTCATTGGCTATGTCCACGCATAGGCGTGCTTTACTCCACGTGGACCGGTGAAACTGCCTTTGATCTCTTATACGGGGGATATTTGCTGCGAAATTTGGCGATTTTTGCAGCAACAGAGCGTGTTAAATATAGATATATAAAACGCACCCGGTATTTCACAGTGTTTCAAGTGACTTCAGATAAAGTATACTATCGAAAGCTTGAGAAATGAGTCAAAAGGGTATAATTTGCAATAGTTTTCCGAGTTCCCAAAAATAACAGATTCTTACACTTAGCTTTAATATTTAATGTGTTATACATGTTCCTAGTTAACCTTTCTCTAAGAGGAGCCAACTTATATCGTACATGACCTTTTATGAGCTGATGACAGCGTTGCGTAGGAAGTGCAGAGTTAACCTACGTGCCGCCATTTTTAGCAAACACCGGCACGGTATATGCACAGATTATACAGACGCGACACCTGCTGTCGGTCCCTTTGATCTTCGTGTCCCCAACCGCTTACCACATTTCGCGCTTATGTTCATTAGAGTCCGGAAAATTTTTTCCTAGGGGTTGTTACCCGCTATTGCCAGGCGTCAGGAACGTCATATGTCAAGCTGCAGAACGAAGAAAGTTATGTTTATCGTTTCCCCAAATGCATTTGGGCCAGATATTTAATTTGTATTGATAAAACTGTTTTACGGTCTCGTGTCAAAGCATTCCACGGATAACCCCTAAATGTCACAGCAACAGGAATCCCACGAAACAGATAGAACTCAAGTTGACGTTGATAGAACCTGATTTTTGACAGAGTGTCGCCTCTGGTAGTACTCAGTGGTATAGGTCTAGTTAGACAACGGGAAGCAAACAAACGTCATAGTACGTCGAAGCTGGATGATGACATTTGTCCGTTTTATTCTAGCAGACTGTCAAGTGGATATACCGGTCAATAATAATTAGTCTCCTATTCAACATAGCTGCCGGTAATATTGCATTTGGCAAGCTACTTATAAAACCACTTGTTCCCTACATTATCAAAAAAACACTGCGCGGTACTGACGACACGGAATAGTACGGGCGACTCTACTCTACGACTATTAAAATCTTTATCTGGCTGATTATTTATTTAAAGCGCACACATAATTCTAAAAGTACCATCTTTAATGATTTGAAATACCTCATTAGAATAAAATATAAGAGCTAATGAACCAATAGTCATCATAAAATTTTTAAAATGCCCTCAGGTGGCTCTCATGACATCTACAAGAAAATGATTCAACTTCAGCGCTATATTATGCATAATGAGAAATATTTGACCAAATGAAGGCTATTGAGGTAATAACAAGTTTCAGCCACAGTAATATGGGGGTCAACTCTAGATCGCTCTAAAATATAAAGCTCCCTGGGGAATGTTGATCACAGCAGTTGACGTTTATCAAAAAAGTTGTAAACATATCCATTTCTGGCAGAACAGTATTTAACAAACAACTTAAAAGAGAAAGGTTAATCATGCCCCTTAAGTGCACGAAGTGCTGACCATCATGCATTCCTGAAGCCTCTCATGGGTAGAAAAAACTGCAGCTTCAGTTTTGGCTCTCGATATGTTACGTATTGCATTACGAATCCGGTTTTTCGTATCTTCTCTGGCTGTAGGTTGAGTCTAAAATACAGTGTCCTTCAACCGTTCCCATAAATGAAAATCAAGGTAAATTAGGTATGGTGATCGCGAGATCATCTTCAGGCAGCAGCGGTAGCCGCAGTAGTAGACTCTTCGGTCTCCTGATCAGTCGCCGTGCGCTGTGCGGGTTTAAATCCTGTCTCAGGAGAGATTTTTCTCTTGGCTATGGATGTTGTGATTTTCCGTAGGTGGTAGACGGTCTCTGACTGTCGAACGCGGAGGTACCACCCGGCGGATCTCGTAGGCGGGGCCAGAATGTGTGCATGTTGCATGCACACGTGTTCCCTCGCCAGAGTCCGTGTGGCGTTCTCCCTTTCCCCTGTATCCCCCTATAGCCCCACGGTACCCCATGGGTGTTTAGGCCTTAGACCTTCGTGGTAGTTGGAGTATAAAAAAACAGACTTCCTCTTCCAATCCACCGCTGTTGAAATACTGCATTAATAAGCTCTCGCACAATAATAGCAAAATGTGCTCGGCAACCATCCAACTGCAAAAACAAGTTTTGCCGTGTTTCCAGTGGTACATCTTCCAACAAAAACGGTAATTGATTGTCCAAAAAGTCAAGAAAGACATTGCCATTCAGGGATTGCTCGACAAAAATATGGAATTATAATTCTGTCTCCCAGTATGCCACACCACACATTCAAGCTCCTTGATGCTGAACTTCACGCTACCAATGCGGATTTTCTGAAGACCAATAATGCATTGTGCAGATTGACTCTCCCGTCACTATTTTAGATGGCTCGATCGGTCCAAATATTTTGAAATAGAAATTCTCTACTTTCGCATATCATAACATCCAGTGGCAATAGTCCAACCTCCGATCAAAGTCTTCCTCTTTCAAGGCCTGATGCAAAACGACATGATATGGGTGCTTTCTGCATGTAATTAAAAAAAGTTAAATTTAAATAAATCCCTATATTTTGATGGCCATTAGAACTTACCTATTGTCCTTCAAAATATTTTGAATCGTTGTTAATGATATATTCAACTCAAGTGATAATGCCCTTGTACTTACATGAGGATTTCCTCCAATATATCCCAGTACGCGGTTAATAATTTCTTGTGCTCATCCAATTCTTTACCGTTGAAACGTAAGCCGAAAACTAGGAACACTAGGAAAAAATGTTAGGTTTATTAGCGGAATTCAGAGAAACTTGAAAATCTTTCCCATGTTTCGATGAGATTCTCACACAATGCCACTACTACGCCAAGGACGCAAAGGCTTAGTAGTTAGGGTTGCCACTCCTAGGACGGAGAGGGTTTATTTCAATTTGTTGATGTTAATATATCTATTCATATGCCCAACTTTGTTGAATCTACGCACCTATTAGACATATTTCACACATCATAGATTTCCCCGTACATTAGCCCTTAAAACTTTTAGATGGTCGGCAGACCTATCGACCACCGCTGCTGCTCCAGGCGGCCTGCTGCCGGCCTTGATGATTGGTTTGCTGTTCTGGTTTAGTATTAGATGTTTCTACGGCGTCAAAGCATAGTGTTTCCTATGTTCTGACCGCGCTGCCATGTCTGACGGAGTTAAGTACTGGGGAGAGGCGGCGTTTCCAGATGCACTGGTAGGGCAGGGAAATAATGACTAGGGACTAATTGTATGGAGCTGTGAGACTGACTTGTTTCTCAGAGGGTCTAGTTTCTGATGAACCGAATCCTTTATGAACTGATAACGGCTGACCGGGTAAGTTTTAACCGCCGTAACCACTAGAATATATCAATCAAGGAGGTATTTACTGGGAACCTTCTGAAGCAAGTGGTATATGAGACCAGTGGGATGAAGATTTCTTCTATTGGACGACAAAGTCCTAAGAGTACTGTTATATGCTGTACTGATATGATGCATGTTCCTATACAATAAGATGACGCCTCAAGCTAATATACCCGCTGACACATGGTCCGTAAGTCCACCTTTTCTGCAACCATTTTAGTGGGACGTCATGGTATGTGCGGTTGTGCGGTCAACCTTTTTCCAGAGCAATTGACCATCTATCGGCACTTCGGCACCGGCACTTCTGTAGCTACCGTAATCCGTCATCAAATGCGCATTAAAGGGCCTACGCGCCTTACTCGCTCGATTAGCCGTGAATGGTCAATGGTCACAGCAGTGCCGTAGTATCTAAAAGGTAGTACCTCATATTCTGGTAATTCGCCATATTTCAGCCAATGTATATGTGGGCAAAAATCAGTGGTTTTCGGGATCTTTCAATTTTTGTCATTTTGTCACCCTAAATTACATTTCGGTCTGACTAATAAAAAACCTATGCAAATTACGGATGGAACTGCATTTGCTTTCCGTAGTTTGTAATTAGAGTAGGTGAATATGTTAATCAAAAGGTGTGAAAACATTATGCAGGGTATAACAGCAGTTACTGTAAAAAACAATGATCCTTTCCAGTTTTTCCTAGAATAAAGTTGTGTCCAGCTCGAAAAATTTCTAGTTCATTGCATGCACGAACTTGCTCGGATTTTCAATTTTCCAAAATGGTATTCAATGATAATATTAAAAGCTATTTCAAATGAACGAACTAATTTCTCATAAATCTTGGTCAGTTTGATCCTCATGGTTGGGACTGAGTTTGTATTCAGCTTCATGCCCCTGTTTTTATTATCTTTGCGGTAAAAATGACCCTTAGTTATACAGTGCTTTTCTTTAATGTCCCCATCCCCTTTGATTTTTTGAACGGATCAATTCAAAAAATTGAAACTTGAGGTAATGAAATTGATGCATGGATATCATATTTCAGAGTAAAATTGACAGATGAAAATGTCAAGATGGCCGCTGGGCGCCATCTTGTAAAAAAATTATATAAAAACGGAGGTCTTGTGGTACATCATTTTGAAGCTCCTGACGAATACTTTATAACCATAGAATATAAAGTCAATAACTTTACCTACTACAAAATGGTGGTGCATTTAATACTGACTTGAACACAAACCCACTAACATGCATATTTCTACAAATAATTGTAATTCCCTGTCGTATCCACAGCGACAGCGATAAAAAGTTGTTTTGTTATTTTTTGTTGACAGTGACAATAATATCAGTACGAAAACCAGCATCATTGTACAGTAAAATATTCTTATTTAGTTTTCGGTTTTAGTGCGACGCGTAACTTTCACGAGACCGAAAGGATTTTTAATGATCGTTTCCCGAATCGTCCTACCTGTAGGGAACTTGTATCTGAATTTACAGCTACTGGTAGTGTAAACAACAAAAAGCCCCCAGGTCATCCGAGCTTCCCGGAAGAAAAGCAAGTTCAAATAATTGGTGAGATCATAGTAAATCCCCAACAGTCTACTTCCTCCATCGCGAATGTATGTGAGGATTGTCCTTCTACTGTATGGAGACTTTTGAAAAAGAATAAGTATCACCCACACAAAATTCAAATGGTACAACTACTAACTGAAGATGTCCCTGATCAAAGAACAGAATTCTGCAAGACTATGGCAGAAACTATTGCACGGCCTATATCCAAAATGTTTGTTTTAGTGACGAATGTACATTTTTTCTCAACGGTAATGTGCATAGACAAAATTGTCATTATTGGAGTGACACCAACCCTCACGTCTTCCGGGAAACTCATACTCAGTATCCACAAAAAAATTAACGTTTTGGCTGGGATATTGGGAAATCATATTATGGGGCCTCTATTCATCGAACAAACTTTAACCGGGGAACTGTATTTGGATATACTGAAAAATACTATTGACCCTCTAATCACCGAAATAATCGAAGCAAATCCTAATGAATTCGATACTGATATTGTATTCCAGCAAGATGGTGCTCCACCACACTACTACAGACAAGTTAGGAATTAGTTAGATAACAATTTCCCCGGTCGTTGGATTAGCCGTCGAGGTCCTGGGAATGGCCAGCTCGCTCGCCAGATTTGACACCTTAGACTGGTTTTATGGGACTATTTGAAAGAAAAGGTGTACGAAACTGAACCTGCTTCAATATTGGATATACGACTGAGAATAACAAATATTTGTAGAAATATCGATGTTACTATGTTTGAAAATGTTCGACGCGAAATTACGGACCGGCTGTTATCGTGTCAAGAAGTTCAAGGCAACTATTTCTAGCATCTTCTAAACTGAACTCGAATTATCAAGTTAAATGTCAATGTATTCAGGTAATTATTATATGTACCACCATTTAGTAGTAGGTAAAGGTATTGACTTTATATTCTAGGGTTATAAAGTACTCGTCAGGAGCTTCAAAATGATGTGGCACAAGACCCCCATTTTCATATAATTTTCTTTCCAAGATGGCGCACAGCGGCCATCTTGACATTTTCATCTGTCAATTTTACTCTAACATATGGTATCCATGCATCAATTTCCTTACATCAAGTTTTAATTTTTTTAATTGATCCGTTCAAAAAATCAAAGGGGAGAGGGACATTAAAGAAAAGCACTGTATATAGAATTCTTTGAAGCCTGATTGATGCCCGTGATACGTGTTTTTGATATGCAGTTCCCATCTTCATCACTGCCGACTTAACAATTTCCTTGGACCCTCTTACAGGTTAAATATCCAGAAGACTGTATGCGGGCATTCATTTTCAATTGAACAACTCGAATTGATCAAGATTGTGGAAAAATAGTACGTTCATTTGAAATAATTGTTAAAATTATCATATGATTATATTGTAGTTATTTGCATCGAATAACGTTAAAATAGTATAGCGCAAATTCAGCAATGCTCGAATAGCTTTTTCACCTGAACTACAAAAACTTTCTGCTTTGTGAAAACCTACTCGCGTCTACGTCCTTATTAAAGTCCCTGAGACGAGCCGTCCATGCACACCCAGGCCCTCGTCAGCCCAATTAACACGGCCCTTTCACTTCATACGCTTGTCATAATCCCCATTGACCGAAGCGATTTGCAACTCTTTATAAAACCATTTGTTGCGGCCTCTTTATGGCCTGCATCGACAGTAGGCACGTGCTTTTTTCAAAGCTTTAAAGCTGTCGATGTTGATGTCGACCAGACGCCGGACACTGGACTACAGCCAGCTGGAAGTGGACAACGTCGTCATGAGGACGGTCAGTCAGCGTGGGTTTTTTAGATGAGCCCAGTCTACCATGAATGGGTTTTGAAGATACATCATGCCAACGCGTAAAGGATTTACACAATGCACACGCACATATGTCATAAAATTCATTGTATCCGTATATATGCGTTTTCAGCATGGTTTATGGAAATTTGATTTTGCCCATTATTTTCCTATATACAGGGTGGCCAAACACGTGACGTCATAAAAAAAAATTAGATTCCCCACATCGAGAGGAACCCAAATCACCCCCATATATATGGTCCGATTTTGTTTAGTTTAGGAGTTA